TAATAAAATAATTTGTATTAAAAAACTTTTTTTATTTAATTATCAATGTTTTAAAAAATTTTAATTTTTACTAAAAATTATTATTGCATTTTTTATTTTATGTTCAAATTCTGTAGAGTAGAAAGTAATTTTAATATAATTTTATATTAATTTTGCTTTTAATACAAAAGATTTTAAAAAGAATAACATAATAATTTAAATTAATTTTTTTAAAAAAAATTTTAATAAAACTTAAAATAGTTTTAATAAAAAAAACCAGAGTGCTAGTTTTTTTGTTCCAAACTGTATATATATATATATTATTTTACAATATTATAATTTATACTGTATATTAAAAAACCATATAAATATAAATATAAATATAACAAATTATAATAAAAAAAATATCAATTTTTATAATTATTTATTAAATATATATATATTTTTATAATAAAATATTAAATATTTATAATCAATCAATATAATTTAAATCAAATTTTTATTTTAAATTAAGTACTATATTAAATTTGAATTTTTAATTTATTTTATAACTTAATTTCAATTTTTTAGCTTGTTTAATAATATAAAATAATTTTTAATTATTTAATTTAAATACATATTTTTAATTTAATATTAACATTCAAGTTTTATATTAAAAGTTTTATTAATTATTATCAATATCGAAAAAATTTTAAATATCAATTTCATGAAATATTATATTAAATGATATTGATTAAAGTTTTAATAATAAATATATTTTAAAAAAATAATTAGAATTATTTTTTGTATAAATAGATTCAAATTAAAATTATGTAATTGAAATTTAAAAATTAATATTTATAAAAAAAATTTGATACTAAAAAATAATTATATATATATAACCAAAAATAATAAACAATAGAAAAAATTGTTATTATTAAAAATAAAATTAATTTAATTATAAAAATTAATTATTTCATGAAAATAAGTAAAAATTAATAAAAAATCAATAAAAACTAATAATAGAAATTGGAAAACTTAATTCTACCGTGATTATAAACAATAGATAATCGGTAATTTTGTGTCACCTATCCGTACTACTGGATTAATATAACATAGGCCACTCAAGAGGGTTAAGTATTATTTATTTTCGTTCTTAAGTTTCCAAAACGTTTAAGGTATTCAAGAATCATACCCTATACAACAGGAATTATTTAATAATATAAGGAAAAATGACGTCAACTTTAAAAAATCAGTTTTCTTCACCGACAGCTTTAGTAAAGAGTAGTTGTTATTTTCAATTTACAATATCATCGATTTCACAAATTAGCGACCCGGTGTTTAGCCCACCTTTTGCTTCCTCCGCCAATACATTTTGGCAATTAAAGTTCATTCCTGTAAGTCCTCATAGTTTTATGTAATTTCCCTTTACGCTATTTTTCGTATTGATAATGAAGAGGAATTCTTCAATTAAGGTTTCTATCGAAAGTCCGGAGTATTGCTCTTTGGCGTTGTATTGGGTACGCAATCCCGAGGAAAGAAGGACTGGTTCCATTTCAAGCGAACGACTTAAATTAAACCAAGCGTGGTTATTCGTTAAAGATCCCGAAAGCGGTACTGAATTAGAAAGGAAACTTGTTAAAGTCAGTGCATTTCAAAAACGTTGGCCGGGTCAAGGTAAATGAAAATTTACGTGTTATATTGTTTAATACTCGGTACTTTAAGATCTTTTTCTTACCATTACCATGAAAACATCATGATCTTTATAGGATGGGCACGATTTATACAAAAAAAGAAACTCGGAGACAAGGCAACTTTTGGGGTTGAATTTCCAACGTTCTCAATTAACCAAAAAGAAGTACACTTATTACCACAAGACAGTTTCCCATCAGATCTGCGCGACGCGTGGTCAAGTCAATTGGATAATCCTTTGAACGCTGATGTTCATTTTAATATCAACGGTCATTCTCTATATGCCAGCAGTATCATACTTTCTAAAAGATCAACTTATTTCGAGAATATGTTTCAAGGTGAATGGGTAGAGGTTAAAATGGAAAACAACTTTTACCCAGAATCAACTGTTGAACCTGTCCCGAGCGAAAATGAGGGGAACGCGGTTGTGACGACAACACCCGTTACATCTGCTTTTAAATTTAACATCGATGTTACCGATTATTCCGTAGAAATTTTTCGCAACATGCTGGTTTTCTTGTATACTGATACAGTCCCTTTCAAGGAAGGTGCAAATCAACTTGAAAACGCCGTCGAGATATATAGCATTGCGGACAAATATTTAATCAGTGAGCTAAGACGCCGAGCACTACAAAAAATTTGGGAATGCTTAACTGACGATAACGCTGCAGAAATCTTATTTACATTTGGATCTCAATGGCCTGATCTTAAGGAAACTGTGATGGAATATGTAGTAACAAGATTTAAATCTGTTAGGAAGACAGAAGGATACCTTCGAATCGAGAAAAACAATATGGAATATCCGGGAGCAAGTGCGGTGTATGCCGAACTACTCCAAAAATTAATTCCGGATGATTAAACGCCCGGCGCAATCATAATTTATAGATGGCGTGAAGATTCATTTCTTCTAATTTTTCGTAATGAAGAATCCATGTGAAATTACGATTATTTTTCTATCTTCCAGCTCAATCATTAATGGAAATGAACCGGATTTGATGCATAGGAGTTGAGAAACCTTTTTGTTTGTTGGTATACATTCGCGTGGTTGATTTTGAAAAGTCAATTGGCATTTTTTTTTAAAAAAAAAATAATAATGATAAAATTAAATAAAAATAAATTTAAGTCAGATATTTTCTGTTTTGGGTTAGTTCATAAGCTTCCGTATCGTAATTTGAATTTGAAATTTTGTGCCTCTAAGTATGAAAGCGTCTTTTTCATGCTCACACAATCCAACTGTACATCTGAGGTTACTTAGAATTCAGAGTGTTGAGAAAACTTGACACTACATTTTGATATTATTTTAATCGATTCAATAAATATTTCTTCCTGTATTTTATGGATGATAAATTAACATTAGCAATTCTTAAATATCAAATTTTTCCGGCGGCACCCGAAGAGCTGGCAGATGAAACATCGGGTATCATCAAACTCAGAGTTTCTTCCATCAGCTCTGCCGAATTCGGATATCGTTTACCAATGCACTTCCATTCTTGTGTTCTTCTGATCTTCCCGAAGTTCTTTATCACATAATTGGTAACCAATTCTTTTAAGTCTGACCATTTCCATGCCCACCCGAATAATATGTCGCCCGCAGTCTCGGGTGTAAGATCTCGATATATCTTGGCCATTGCTCGTTGCCTCAATTCAGAGATCAAATATTTATCCGCGATCGCAAAAACCTCAAGCACGTTATCACGTGCAACTTCACTTTGGTTTACGGGACTTGCGCGACCAGTGTAAAGGAATCTCAACATTGTCAAAAAAGTTGTATGATTAAAGTCGGTGACCTCGATGTTATACCTGATGGGTGAGTATGTTTCTGTTTCTTGCGTTGTCGACGGCGTACACGATGCGTCAGGCGTAAACTTTCTTGGAACCGATTGCTGCTCGCTACAAGTAGATCCCTGACTTTGAATCATCGATTCTGCCCATTGCTGTCGGAAAAGTCGCGCGAAATACATTGAGCGCTTTGATAGCAATGAACTGCTTGCGTAAATTTGATGGCCATCAATGTTGAATTGAACATCTACAATATCGCGTCTATTTAGTTGTTCTTCCCACGCAGAAATTAAGTCATTGGACGTGGATGTGACCGGGAATGGCACCGGTATCTTCTGACTTTGCCATTGAACAGCTAGAAATCCAACACCTATTATAATGTCATTAGGAAGTTTGGAACGTGGAAAGAGCTGAGCAGCGCCTAAGAATAAAGTTGAATATTTATTAATTTTCATATGTCAATGATTCGAAAAAATGTAATTGATATGATGAAAGTTTTGAGATCGGGATACCTCTCTGTGGTTTCTTGAAAGTGAACTTGTCATGCGTTACCAAGCATTTTTTAAGATATGGTCTGAACCGTGGACGATGAGAACATTATCGCTGGGATCACGAATCATCATCATTTGACATGTGAAGTACTTACACTGCAAGTCCGTTTCTATGATCCAACACTATCAAGTCAGGTGTTGGATCCTTTAGATAAATCATGGCGGGCAATATATGCTGCCTTCGGCCAACATTTGTGGACGTGCTTTCCTCTTTATTTAAGAGAGCCACCAGGAAAAGTGAACAATACGCTGGATGCTCAACGTTTACCTGGGTTATTTTTTGAAAATGATTTTCCAATTCGTTAGAGAAGTACACCAAATAAACAAAAACAATGTCTATTTAGAGCACAATCGATGTGGAACAAAACATGTGGATGATACACTGTGACACTTCAAACTTACCGGAATGAACTTCAATTGCCAGAAGACATCCGACGAAGTGCCAAACGGTGGAGAGTAAACGGGGTCATTAAGTTGTTTGACGTTATTAATCGTGAATTCGAATGTTAACCTTGACGCGAAAGGATTATTGTTGACGGAGTTGTCACTTGGGACGATATCATTATCCATTTTTCGATTTTTCGTCAAATCAAGTAGTCTTCAGTGAGTGAACAGTGGGTTTCCAAAGCAAGGAGGTGTAAAGCGAGCGTTGGACGAAATCAAGGTACTGGTGTCAGTTATTGACTATTCAAGGATCAGATTCGGATTGATATATTGATATGGTGGTGACATGACTTTTTATAGACGTGAATGACAAAATCGATCAATTTTTGGTTAGGTGCATGCTAAGAATAGACATAATAATACTACGCGCGTTATCTTTTTACCTTACTGTATATAAAGAACGAAAAGATTATTTTATTCAATGGAAAATAAAAAAGTAAACATTTATCAGAAATGAATATACTGTATATGATGATAATGGATGGTCATGTAATTTGCAAAATATTATTTGTTTATTCACACATCTTGTATTCCGGGAACTCATTTCGTGTGCGCGTCTTGCCACGCATAGTCGCACGTAAATCTTTTGCATGCAACCAATGAATTATTTGAATTATTTGCAGATTGTTCGCTTAAAATGAAAAGAAATCAAAAAGCGATTACCATTTACAGAATTGTTTTTTTCTCACATGATCTTTTTATCCTTGGTATCACCTTACCTTTCCATAGGTCCGCGAGATACTGTACGAACCAATTTGACCTCAGAACTAGATCCAAATTAAAATCGTCCCCTTTACGACTACATGACATCATACACCACAACACGATGGTTGCTAATAAAGTTGCTATAAATTAAGTTGAAGTATTTCTGTATCAAATTTATCTTTTCTCCACTTATTTCATTTCATCTAAAAAAAGAACTCTGATAAAAGAAGAGTTACTTACAGTATCTACTGTAATTTTATGACATTTGCGTTCTCCAAATGTTCACTTCCGTATCCGAAGCACTCTATGTTCGTTCTCATTACTACAGAAGACGTATTCAAGTGATGTTATTCGCATTTTGCGAATGTTGACAAACCAAAAGTGTAACCAGGTATAACGCCAAAAGAGGAAACACTTAGAGCCTATCAGTAAACGTTCACGGTTGGTCCGCCTTCGAACTTCTTTAAAATATTCGATCACTTTACATAAACGTGACATGAATCCTTGCTATAACCCAAATTAGACTAACATCAGAATGTTACACAATGCTTGAATGAAATTAAACACCGTCTATGTTTATTATTGCACGCTCACAGTTAGTTTCTTTCTTTTCCATAAACTTATTTCTTCCTTTCACTCTTTTCTTGCTTTCATTTGTTTTTTGTTGTTTTATACCTCAAGTCATTTGATGATGATGTCCGAAAAGATGTCGGCCAATAATGCACACATTAACCACACGGTTAATTTAAACATGCGAAATACCGGTTCTAATAATGATAATAAGACCAGGGCGGAAGATCGTTCCGATCATTGCGATGTGATGATTCGTGTGGGAGAACATCCGAACGTAAAAAATTTTTATGCCAATTCTAGATTATTGAGTTCCAAATGTTCTTACTTTCGTACCGCATTGTCAAGTAATTGGGCGAGGAAGGAGGATGATGTTTATATAATTGAAAAACCAAATATCTCGCCAAGAGTATTCGAAATTGTTTTAGGGTAAGTGAGGTAATTGCTCTTTATTATCTGACGCATGCCCATCGGTAATCGATTTCCTTTTTCTATTAGGTACATCAATAACGGTGTTATAAACTGGAATGCACTGGATAGTCAAGATTTCCTTGGAATTTGGCTGGCAGCTGAGGAGTTTATGCTGGATGATTTGGAAAGAAAGGTGCAAGAATTTTTTAAGACAAAGGAGGATCTTCGACCAAAGTTTATTCAAATACTTCGACTAGTATATCAGAATGATTCTTTGGAACGATTTCGAAGTAACTGTGTGGATATTATTAATACAACAACATGGGTTCAGGATGCCGCCGAATTTGCTTCCTTGGAAGAATCGATTTTCCACAGTTTACTTAATGACGAAGAACACTGTGTTTATGATGGTGTCATGTGGAATCTGTTGATTCAATGGGCTTGTGCTCAAATGCCGAGATTGGATACTTCTAAACGAGATATGTGGACCACAAGGGATTTCGAAACATTGAAATCTAGAATTGATCACTTCATCCCTTACATAAAATTTTCTTTAATCTCTCGAAATGATTTTTATGAGAATGTTTTACCTTATAAAGCAATATTATCAATGGAATCAACGTCCAACGCATCATTACAATATTACCTTCATCATATTGATGATGACGGAAATCCTAAATCAGATGTGCTAAGGCCAAATGTAATCCTAGATGATTCAAGAATCGTGAATCACACGCATGTCGCTGTGATCGCGCGATGGATTGACACAGGTAGAGAAAAAGAAAATATTAATCACTCTGACATATCAGCATCTATCAGCATACCTTCTTTTGATTCAAATAGTAATCCCATTTTGGGTGAGACCTCATCAATTGAAACAGATCCAGAACAAACCGTACATGATACAAAAACAAAATCCGATGAGAAATCATCCAAGTATTCATGGAAGCCATCACCTTTAAAACGACTTTGGCCCTTGCGCAAACACAAGAAAAATTCTAATAACGCGGATCCTGCTGGTACCAAGAAAAGCAACAATGATAATGCACAGGATAATACCCACACTGATTCTAATCACTCAAACAAAGATATTAGTATTTTACCCAGTTTTCAAGTTAGAACCCCTTCAATCGCATCTAACCAATCTTCGAATTCTACATATCATTTCAAGTTGATTTACAGAGGTAGTCGAGATTCCTTTGATAATAAATCATATTACATGAACTGTAAAGGAAAAGGTGCAACTGTTATGGTAGCATCTGTGAGTCGCACGAGATTCATAGTTGGAGGATATTACCCGATCAGCACCGAAGGAACTTATCCAATCCTAGTATTCGCAGGATCATTAGATGCTTTTATATTTTCCTTTGGGGACGGAGATAATCCCGAAGAGGAATCTGTAATTAGCAGAGTATTAAAGGAACATGCGCATGAGGCAATATGCCGTACGCTCTACGGACCAGGATTTGGCGACAATGATCTCATCATTAAACTTGCAGGACAAGATCAGCCAAAGAACGGTATCTGTGGCAAAAAATTTTATGAGAGGAAAATTGTGGATATGAGCACATTTAACTTTGATGAGGTAGAGGTGTTTCAGGTCATCAAAAATGATCGATGACCGTCAAAAGATCTATGATTTTGGTTAATTGAGGGATGTGATTCTGCGAGGTGAGGGACAATGACGAAAATGTAAGCGGTTTTTTGTTTTACTGTAATGTATATACAATGTATATATGTTCAATGAAAGATAACGTGATGGAATTTAGAGATAATAATTCCAGAGTATAATTTTTTTTTTTATTTCTTTCAATGTTAATAAACATATTAATGTATTTACAGTGAAAATGATACGCTATGTAAATTTATCACCAGTCATTTGATTCCTCTTTCAGATTGCGAATAACTTTGAACAAAACGACTCTTGTGTATAATTGCTTTCTTTTTTAGAGTATGGTATTGAGATAGAGCTTTACGTATAGGCATTAGTCAATTCCCCCCAAAAAGTAGATAAGATTATTACTTGCAATGGTTTATCAAAAACTTATGTAAACAAATAGCTAGCATACATGACGAATTTCTATAATAATTAAAAAAAAATTTTTTTTAACCGATATAATCGACAGTTAAGTAAGTTTTGTGTAAAAATTCATTTTATTGATTATTTTAAAATATTAATGTTGAAAAAAAATTTTTTTAAAAAAAAAATCTTGTATTTATTTTCAATCATAAATATTTATATTAAAGATCAATAACGTAATGTAAAACAAAAAATTCTAATTTGCTAATCTTAAAATTAGTCATACTGTTTGTTTAAAGAACATGAGATACACAGTACATTAAATAATATTATATTATATACTTTTATAAGTTAAGAAATAAAGTTTTGGCATTTATTTTTATTTAAAGTGCCCGAAACTTGTCGGACTCTGAAAAAAAAAAAAATCGCATTTGATAAAACATTTAATTGTTATGTATCAATATAGATTCTCAATAAATTATAGAGAGTATGGGCATTTGAAGTCGGAAACAGAAATTGAGAATTCTGGTTTATATATCCAATCTATACCCGCGATATATAATTTAAGATTAACTTTAAGGTTCAAAAATTTCTGTGCGCCGGAGCTCTTAATGCAAGCGCCAAGAAGGTCTTGAAAAGTTGGGTCATTTCCTTTTGTGGTTTGATATAAAACGTGTATCGGGACCACGAGTGTTGACACTGCACGAGGTTGAAGGACGTAACTAGTAACATTACCAGTGGCAATGGGATCGTTAAACGTGGATGAAGAGGCCGTATCGAAAACCTGGATTGAAACAAACATTGAGAAAATTTGTCAAAATTGAGAATTATTTGAAACACTCACCTGCACGTCAATATGGTTGAACTTGTATGGCACCCAATTTTCCCTATTGTCAATTAAAACCTGAACGTTGATTATCAGATCTACTAATGGCGGCTGTTGCCTGATAATTGGATTTGTGTTTGGCGATGATAGAGTTTGATTGCCGTCAATTGACACTGACGGGATACGCGGCCAGACAAAATACAAAACAATCGCAATAATAACCAAAATGATGAAGGTAATGATAATACAGATTTTTCTGGAACAACAGCAACAACGAGATTCTTGGTCTTTAACTATTACTAGGTTCTCGCCAGCTATTGATTGACGAGCATTTTTTCCTCCACCTGGGAAATCACGATCAGTATAGTCAGACTCATAAATATCTACTGGTTCCAATACAGTATCATATTTTGTCAAACTACTGTAACCTTGGTAATTATTATTGAAGTCATCATACATGTTGGGTCGACCCGGAATCGGTTTAGGGTTGGCTTGATCATTCATCTCTAAACTTTCCTTTTCACGGGTATCCAATGAATTTTCGACACCTTCGGCTTCGTAATGTTGTTCATGGATAAGTGGTGAACGTTGATATCCATTTAGGTCTATAGAACCGTCCCTGTCCGGTTTCAGATGCGCATCAGCACTAGAATAATCTGATGCATACAAATGAGAACATAAAGAATGATTAAAGTTGGTTGAACATCGTTCTACTGAATTCAATAAATTTTCCTCTTTATAAAACCTATTTTGCTTATATCATCTCATATAAGTACGAAGATGGCATTATCCATTGAAACACAGCAACGATCGCTTTCCTATATACTGACTATCCAAACACTTTTCTTACAAGAAATAGATAAATCAATTACCTCTCGTTAAATTACCTGTCCCTGTTCGACTATAGCGCTTATTCGAATCCTTAAACTCTTGCGCGTATTCTCTCTGTGTATTTGATCTCCTTTGATCATAATCTGAATTATTGCTGTATGATTGCATATTGTTCGATTTCAGTGAAGTTATAATTACGGAGTGGGTCTACTACATGATAAATTATTTATTACTACTACAAGGAAAATCAAATCTCGTTGAGCTTTGATAAATATAAATTGAATGCTACCCAAAAAACGACAAATTTTTTATGCGTTCAAAGTATTTATTGCCTCGACCTCTGAGAAACGTGAAAAAAAGAATTTTTCTTCTCACCTCACCGAAACTTAAAGCTTTGCTGCACACGCAGGTTTATATGTATTTTTTTTCTGTAATGGTTGTTTAGTAATGACACTTCGGCACCTTGGATCTTAAGTGCGGAACTTCCTGAAAAAAAAGTTTTAAAAAAAATATAAAGCGTTCACACAAAGATTAATTATAGTGACCACGTGATAAAATAAGAACCTATAAATAAAATGATGTATATAATTAGGGCGCCGAGAATTTACTCTTACGTATGAGGAAAGTCACTAATGACAATGGTAGAACCTTAAATATGTAAAGCGTAACTAATTGTAAACATGTTACTCTGCTCCGTAACTAGTACACAAATTAAAATTGTTATTAAAAACTTGATATAACGCTGCTCAGCCTTACAGAATTTGATTTTATGTCACACACAAACCGGTTTATTATTTAGCCATATTGACTAATTAATTTAGTAATTCTTATTAATAAATTAATTATGAAATGTGAAAGATATTAATATACACTACATTATTATTAATAAAATCTTTAATATTTAAAATTTTCTTTTAATTATTTAATTCAATAAAATATGCTAATTAGAATAATAATGAATAGAAATATTATATAACATTTTTGTTATCAAATTTATTTAAATATTATTATTATTATTATTTTAAGTATATAAAAAAATTATTATTATTATTTAAGTTTTTAATAATATTATTTTAATATTAAATTTTTATAAGTTTAATATAACAGGTTATAATTTATATATTAAATTTATTATAAATCAATATCATTTTAATATTAATTTAAAATTTTATTTATTTAATTTACATTTTATTATGAAAATATAATAAGAAATTATATATTTAAAATATATATAAATTAAAATTATATAAAAATACTTTTTTTAATATATTTTAAAAAAAATAATTAAATATTAAAATTAATAATTTTATTTTTATTTATTAATAAAAAAATAATTATAACTTATTATAATTAATTTGATATTTAAAATATTTAATTATTTAAATCATAATTAATATAATTTAAAATTATATTTTAAATAAAAAAAATATTTTTAATTTTATAAAAAAAATTTATATAAAAATATTTTTTATTAATAAATTATAATTAATAATAGTTATATAGTTTGTTTTTTTTAAAAAAGCAAATATTTTCTATATTTTATTCTTTTATTATAATTTAAACTTATAAATTATAAGATTACAATATTAATAATATAATATATATTTCTTTTTACTAGAAAAAGTTAAATATAAGACTTATAATTAGTTAATTCCCTATGTTTTTTAATATTATCCAAGAATATAAAAAAGAAAATTTAAAATCTATATTATACCTTAAATAATATTTAACAATTTAGAGTTAATTAATTATCTAATTATATAGAAATCTTATAAATATTATATACAAGTTATACATATAATAAAATTGAATTTAAATATTTTTTAAAAACTATATTATATTAAAATTATTAAATAATATATAATAAATAATATAAAATTATAAAAAAAAAAAACTCTTTCCTGTACATAATATTTTTCTTAAAAATTTCCTTTTATAGTAACATTTTAAAAATCAAAGAAAAAAATATTCCTTTCACTTCCCAATACCTACAAGTCCTCTACATCTTTCTAGTCTTTACTATAAAAGCCTCAAGGAAACCAAAGAAATATACTGATGCATCGAGATGGGACCTCTGGTCAGGAAGAAGCAAGTTTGGGGATTTTGCTCTCTTCTTGAATTGCATGAGGAAAGGCTCGTGGCAGTTATTTCTTTATAGATTTTCCTTGGGGCTTTTCACATTTTCACTTCTTATTAAAACACTTCTTATCAATATATAAATACTTTTAAATACTTCTTTTATTTTGTCAGAGGATCTTCTTTTAACGCAAAACTTAAAACTTTACATTAAAATTGCATATATTATTGGCTTGAAAAACCAGCAATATACAGTGCTGATCAAAAAAAACCGGAATTTTTTTGTTTCATGAAAACCTTCGTAAGTTATACAGTTGCAATCCAATTAAAATTTTTTTTGTACAAATAGTGAAATCATGGGATATATGTTACGTGAGTAGTCAACATTTTCTCGAACTTTAGCTGGTTTTGCGAGAAGGGTCTTCGGAATGTCGGTCGAGAGAAAAAAACATCAACGTAAAGTTCTATTACAATTGTGGGACGACGGTGTACATGACGCAAAAAAAATTCAATCACTTACTAAGTTTTCACTCTCTACTATATATGATAACTTAAAAAAGTTGAAAAAAACTGGATTTAACGAGCATTCGGGCGGAAATGGCCGGCCAAGAAAGATCGACGGGGCTTCTTCAAAGGCGCTAGGGCAATACATTCGTAGGGACACTTCTTTATCAACAAAAGATCTTGCGGCTAAACTGCTAGAAAGAGGTATACAGGTATCACGTCATACTATTGGAAGGCATTTGAAGGAGGTCGGGTATACAAAAAGTCTTCCACGGGCTACTCCTATGCTCACCGAAAAGCAAAAAAAAAACCGGGTATTGTGGGCACGAAATCACCTTGACGACACATGGGAACAAACATTTTTTTCTGACGAAACAGCATTTGAACTCTATCGAAATACTGTGAGACGTTGGCACAAGGGTGCACGACCAATTCGTTATATGCTGAAAAGCCAGGTAAAGATTCTCGCTTGGGGGGGTTCTGTATAAGGGGAAAATCAACTTTATTTCTTTTTCAACAGATTATGGACACAAGTTTTTACATGGGAATCCTTCGCAAACGTGTTCCGGAGATCAAAAGGATACTTGACGATGAGTGGCGCTTCCAGCATGATAATGACCCGAAGCACACGAGTCACCTGGCGAAGGCTTTTATCGAAGAAAATATGCCAGCTGTTATGGACTGGCCATCTAATAGCTCCGACTTGAATCTGATCGAAAATTTATGGGGCATAGTCAAGAACAACGTGGAGAAACGTATGCCAAAAAATTTAGATGATTTAGAATGGTATATGGGTGAGGAGTGGAAAAAAATAAAAAAACCTGTTCTAATTGGATTGGTTCAGTCAATGAGGAGACGTTGTGAGATGGTTATAGAAAGCAACGGGGATCGTATAGCTTACTAAATTTTTTTAATTAAAAATATCAATCATAAA